GTTTTGAATATGATAAAAATGTGATAAAAATGCAATGAATATGCACAATTAAGTTAGTATAAATGCTTGTTGATTTTGTTTTCACATACGCACATTAGGAGGAGCTATCCCCTGTGCGTCTGGCGCTGTAATACAGAATGCCTGCTTTCTAAAACTCCAAAATTGAGTCTTAGAGAGGGAATTAATTACCCCTTTCCGAAAAACACTGCCTTTGACACACCGCGGGGGAGGGAAATCCAGCGCAGGGAGATGTTCACACATAGGCTGGGGGAGGTCGGGTGGGGGGGGACCCCACAGGAGAGGGGGGGCGCGCACACCCACCCACGCCCCCCCACCCGGGTTTGGGGGGTCGCGCACTCACGCGGGGCGCCGCGGGGCGCGGGCTGCCTCCTCGCCGTCGCTGTCGGCCGCCGCCGCCGCCGCCTCCTCCTCCCCGATGTCGGGCAGGGTGAGGAGCAGCGCCCTGGCTCCCCCCCGCCCGCCGGGCTCCTTGTCCGCCGCGGCGGGGGGGGCCGGGCGCAGGGGGCGGCCGCCCGCTCCCCCCGGCGGCGCCGCCGCCTTGCCCGGGGCGCAGCCCCCGCCGGAGGTGGGGCGCGGCGGCGGCGGCGGCGGGGCGCGGCGGAGCTTGGCGAGGAAGGCGCCCAGCTCCAGCGCCGCCACCTTCATGGCGGGCGGCGGGGCGGGAGCCCCTTCCCGCCGCCGCAGGCCCGGGCGGGCAGCGGGTGGGCGAGTGGAGATCGGCCCTCCCGGCCTCCCTTCCCGGCCGGAGCGGCCCGCCGCCTCCTGCCCGGCCCGGCGGGCGTTGCCAGGCGAAACAAACCCCGCCGGGGGCGGTGCGCGGCTCGGCGGGCTGCACCGCCCAGGGGAAAAGCCTGAGGGGCCGCCCTCGGCCTGCGCACCCCGCAGCCCTGGGGAAGAGTTGGGCGGGAGCCTGCGGCAGCCTGTGAGGGAAGGCAATAAAGCCGGGCCTTCGCCCTTTAATTAAAACCCCACCTGACATTAAGTGGAAGAAACCGGCTCCTTCGGCCAGGGTCACCAGGGCCCCCGCTTCCCACCCTTGTGTGCAGCAAGAGTTTAACAGAAATGGGGAGAGAGATGGACCCCGGCCAAGGCACCTTGCCGCGCCATGTCAGGCAACCGCGGGAGGGAGCTGTGGAGGAGCCAGAGCCCAAGTGCAAAGATGCTACCAACAGCCCCAGGCAGCTTGGAGAGCCGGGGAGGAGGGGGTCAGGATCAAGGACCTTTCTCTCTCCTGCTACAAATACCAGCAGCAGTGGCACTGACCGGGCAGCTGGAGTCTGGGGCAAATACTGCCCAAGCTTTGCAACATCAGGTGGTTGTCTGTCTGGAGGGAGAGAAGCACGGTCATGCCGGCAGCAGTTTGGGGGCACTGTAATGGATGGTACTGGGGATGGGGCAAACATTGCATCAGCTCAGAATATGGCAAGTAGCACAGCCCTTGGCAGCATCCAAAAGAACAGCACCAGCTGAAGGGTAGCACAGTTGCTTTATACATACCAGGATCATTCATCAAGCAACTAGTTGCACTGTCAACTTCAAGCTGGCAGCTGCTGGTAGACAACAACCAAGGGTAAAAAGTAGGGACTTTTATCCCTGCCTTGTCTTCCGAGAACATCAAGGGGTGCAATAAGCTGGCAGAGTGGAGCACCCATGACACCGTGCAGAGGACTGAGATTCAAAATTGGAAGATTCTTGGCCTTTTTTTCTTACAAACTGAAATGAATACGTTCTGACCAAACCTTATGGAATAGGTCCACACAGACCTACCTAAACAGCAGCACAATCTGCATTTATTCCTCACCCTGTCAAATAGCCTCGACTGAGCCAGAGTGAAAGTAACATAATTGAGCACGTTGGTGTGTAGTATTTAGTGAGTAGCCTCCTCAACTTTCATGGCCTAAGCATGACGAAAGAATTTGTCACTTGCCCTGAAAAGGTACAGTATTTTTCTCAGCTGCAGCCCCAAAGCAACCCTGCATGAAGACCTGGAATAGAACCTATTATGAATATCACTGTCTGTAATTTGTTCATTACTCTCCATCATTCAAGAACCACTGAAACAGGTTCCACACAGAGTTTACAGACCTGAGCATTCTGCCTCACGCAACTCCTTTAGTTATTCTGCTTTCAATACAAGATGATTTCTAGTCCTAGGTAATGTCTTTGACGCTACAGGTTTGGAACTATTTTTCACTTATTTGGTATCCAGCTCCTCAGCAAATCTGCATAGTACAGTCTGATGCTGCCCACTGCAAAGAAACTACCCAGCTTAGATATAGACAGTTAATCCTGAAAGCACTTACTTCGCCATGGTAAGCCCATTAATTTACTCTCAGTAGTATTGTCAAACAAATGCACAGGAGTAGAGCAGAAGCAGGTAACTTCCAGACAAATAGGGGAAATTTATATGAAAATTTTATGTCAAGTATGATTGATGATTACTATTGCCCCTGTGCTTATTGCTTTTGTGTCTTTCATTGTGAGCCTTTATAATGGCTTTTTCTGCTGTAAATTATTTAAAACTGAGTGCAGATACTAAAACACCTGTTTAGAATGCATCATAATATTTTTATCATTTAAAACAATTTTCACTCATCAGCAAGCATTTGTAGTTTGGATTCTTGGCTATATTACAAAACCAAGCATCCATAACACATTTTTTCACTGTTCTGAGACCGACTTTTGGGGTGTTTATAGCAACAAGAAAAATCTTTATAGAATTTAGACTCACTGTCATTTGTCAGGGTTTAGGGGCCAGAAAAGACCATCTGATCATCTAGTCTAACCTCTCCGTATCACATTTCACCTCAGCATTTCCCCATGCATTCTCTGCATCTTCATATAATCCTTAATATCCATGTGAACTGATAACATTTTCTAAATAACTTATATTGACATGGAATGAGAAATTCTGCTAGTATGTGTCATTACAGATTTAGGAAACATAAGAACCCTTTCACATGTTAGTCTTTAAATAAGAGACAGTACAACTGACATGATGCATACCTGGCGCCCCAACCTTACTAACTTGCCTCCTCAACTTTCACAGCCTAAGCATGAAGAAAGAATTTGTCACTTCACCTGAAAAGATCAGAAAGATGAGATGAAAGCATCACAATGGGGATAATCCTATTACTGTAATTAGGGAATCATCATCTATCACTTCAACTGTAAACAAAGCCTTTTTGTTTTCACTCATGACTTCCTGGGCAAGTGAAGACAGTCTACCTACCCTTCGCTCTTCCAGTGCATGCAAAATCTATTTCATGAATTATTTTTCTCATTTAAATTTTTTTTATCACAATGGGATATACAAACCTAGTAAAAACTAATGTTTTGCATCTATGCATATAACAAATCATGGAAACAGCTGCTTAAAATGTTAAGTATTGAATTATCTGAAAGCTGTTTTCTAAAGCAGTAAAACAGCATTCTTGGAGTAATGGTGGCATTGAAATTGGTGAGGGAAATAATAGGGGGCAAAAAGCAATTTAAAAATCTTCCAGAGCTATTGATGGATCACACACTTACTAAAAATTGACAAAGTTTTATAAGGTCCTTGAAGCAGCAATTAAATATTAACAAAAGCATACAAATGAATGTTTAGTGTCTAATTTACAATGAATTGTGCTCAAACACTCCATAAAATTGCAACCAGTCTCAAACATTATAAACATCCTTTCAGAGCACACTTTGCTGGTTCTCAGCTCTCACCAGATGAAGCTACTAGCCCATACATTTGAACCTTAATGCTCTGGCAATTGCCAACTACCCCATGTTTCTATAAAGTATGTTAAGGAAAAAACAAGCTAGATTAATACATAAAAAATTAAACTACACAGTTCTATGCAATTTCTTTATATTTTTCTTTTTAGCTGTCAGGCAAAACTATATACAGTCATAAAAAAAAAGGAAACAAAAAACCTGAAATTAATCTACTCCTGAAGTTTTTCTCCCACTCTACCTGTATCTGTGGTCACAGTAATATTTCTGATACAGTTTAAAACTACTTCTTTGGGGGTGGGGGGGTGTTATATTTTTTTTTATAGTTGTTGTTTCACCAATAACAAAGTGTTCAGTAATGAAATTACAGTAGCACCACCTCTCCCACAAAGTTATCTTCTGGTGATGCTACAGAAATATCTATGCCTTTACACATTCTACACAGGTCCACCAGCTGTGCCTTGGCCATGTTTCACACTGATTTCAAGTTCTATTTAAGAGCCCGCATATACTTTTATGCGTATTCAAAGAATTAAGGTGACATCTCTCAGTATAAATACCCTTCTGCCAGCTCTCTGAATTTCAGCAGGAAAGAGTAAAAAAATTTTTTTAAAATCACGCCACATTGATTACATCAGCTGACTCATTACTCTGAAAATCTGTTTTTAATAGTCACCAGTACTAGCCCCACCCAGAGAGCATAAGCAATCCTTCACTGCATGTTCTGTACAAGCTGCTCACAGGGTCAAATTTCTTTCTGTGGCTTTCTCTTAAAACAAAGGTTTTAAAACTCACTATGAAACTCTTCTATGTTTCTTGGTTCTAACTACAGAAATAATTTTCCATGTTACTTACTATGCTTCACAAGGAAAGCTTTCCAATTTTATTTTCACTGAATCTCTCTGTGTTTTGAAGACAAACAGTAGTGTCTACTCTACCTCCTACACAGAATTTACTATTTTATCATTATTGCATTCTCCTCTGCATATCCCTTTAAAGTAGAAAGTCTATGTCTTTTCTGCACTACATCAGATGGACATTTTTCCTAGAACATCAGTCATTCTCACTGCTTTTCAAAATTTCTACCATATTTTTGATACATAGACTGAAATGACTATCAATCATGATCTATTTTAACATGTCACTTCAGTGCAAGTAAATTAAAACGTCAGCAAAAACATGAATGTAGACAAGTAAATTTAAATTATAGTGACTCTTATGTATCTTTCCAGCCGGACAGACTTTTTCAGATCTTCCTGAAGGCTTGTCAGTTTTTCAGTGATAGGAAATCTGCAATAAAATGACCCCACAATCCAAATTCGTAGTTTCAAAATTCAGTGTGCTTTACTATTAGATTTAAGTGCCATTACTAATTGCTGATGAAATGCACTGACTCGTTCTTTCTGGGCTGGCCAGTTCAAGATGCAGCGAGATCTGAACATTCCTCTTCTCAGGTGAAGTGCATGATACAACCTGTAATCTTGAATATCATGAAGAAAGATCAGTATGATGGAGTCCCGACTTTGTTCAATAGCTTGCTGAAGAGCATGATACACCTTAAAACTGAAGCAAAAAGAAGACAAAGATACATGTTTTATTTCATGTGGAAGGAAAAAATGACAAACTTCTTTTAATAGCTCACATAATAGCACATTGCAAACGCAAGGACTGGACTCAAACAGGAGTCTTAATGTCTATTCTATGATATCAAATTGTCATTACTTAAATTAGTTGCCTTCTAACTACAGAAAAAAATCATCCTTTAAAAATATAATCCAAGTCTACTGTCTTGACGTAGCTTTGTTTATCAAAGTTCTTTTCAAGATCGCTACATAAGAAAGGTGAAAAGACTTGTTTAGAGGCAAGTAAAAAATCATCTTCAGATGCCAGTGGTGTCACCCATTATTGTTCTTTCTCAAACATGTAATTTTAAGGAAAGCAATCTGCACAGGTGACAGCTTGACTTTTAGGAAAATAATTTTTACTGAGAGATTCAAATTTCCACTAGTGGAGTGTGGAGCTATTAACTTTATTAACTTAGGAATTATTCTGAAGTTATGATGTATTAAGTAAATACATTAAAGCAGAATTTGCATTTTTTTTATTAAATTACACAGTAAAAAAAAGACTGCCTTGTTAACAAAATCTGTTAAGAAATTTTTCCCCTTACATATCAAATTTTATCTCATACTCACTTTTTGCACCAGGGGTCCTGTAAGAGGTGTTCAGTCACAATAAAAATAATCTTCCTGCTCATTTTTATACTGTTAATTGTGGCTTCAAATTCAGATATGCCTGCTTCAAAGTCCCGTTCTTCTAAACAAAACCTAATTTGAAAGTGGTTATTTTTTTCCAGAGAGATAAAATTCTTAGACACCCAGTTCTTGTCCTGTCTTGCATGAATAACGTAAGCATCATAATCAAACTCTTCCTGTTGTCTGTCAAGTTCTTTAAAACCAAGTATTCGATTTACTAAAATATTGCAGTAGAAGGCTATTCTCCAGCCTTCAAAATGTATGATAAGAACGATAAAAATGAATAGCATCACAATACTGTTAGTGATCATAAACAGAAGTTTAAACGGAGCACTGTCTTTGCAGGCTGAGCTATCAAAATGCAACACCAGACTACCATGATATTTAGGTGGGGTGTTGCAAACGTACTGGGACAGCAATCCAGGTACATATGCTTGGGTCACATTAAGCCAATCAGCAAACCAAGCAATGCTTTCACAGGTGCAATCAAATGGATTGGAATCCATCTCTAGTATTCTTAAGCTCTTGAAAGCTGGGCCAAACACTTTTTCTTCAACTGCGGTTATCAGATTTTTCTGAAGGTTCAATGAATTCAGAGAGACTTGGTCATCAAACAGAGTTGCTGGAAGCAAATTCAAATTATTCGAACCTAAATCCAAGTTTTTTAATTGAAACAGACCCTTGAAAACCTGAACTGGAATCTCATCAAGCCCATTTGATTTTAAATTGAGAATACGCAAGTTGGGAAGATCTTTTAAAAAAAGAACAGGGCCACCTGGATTTGCATGCTTCCAAAGTCGGGCTAAATTATTGTGCTGCAGATCCAGAATATCAAGTTTATGAAGTCCATTAAACAAGTCTTCTTTTATGTTTGCTATGTTGTTGTTGCTGACATCGAGGACAGTCAGATTTTGTAGAGGATGGAAAGGCGAAGGAGACAGTGCCAAATCACTGCAACCTACCTTCCTCAGCATCAGTTTTCTAAGGCTTGGGACAAAAATGAATGATTCACTTTGCAAGGACAAGTTTTTATTATAGGAAAGATAAATATCTTGTATATTATCGAGACCTTTAAACTCATGACCTGTGAGCACCTGACTAATTTCATTGAGACCAAGATCAAGAATGTTCAGCTGTCCCAAGGAGGAAAATGCCCCACTTTCTATTGTAGAGATTCTTGTTTTTGTGAGGTTGAGAACCTGCAAACTGGAATTAGCAAGTGATGAAAATGTTCTATTAGTTAGTCTTTGTAGATTTATGTTGCAGTTACAGAGACTCAGGTATCTCAGGTTCTTCAGACCTGTGAACATATTATCAGTAATTCCTGGAAAATTGTTATTATCCATTATAAGGTACTCCAGGTGGTATAACCAATGAAAGGAAAAGTCTTCTATTTTCCCAGTAAGTGAATTTATCAGATTCAGATGTTTGAGGTTGGATAATCCATAAAATAAACGTGAAGATACATGAATGTTATTATGCTTCAGGTTTAAGTATTGTAAACTTGAAAGCCACTGAAATGAGTCATCTTCTATCACAGACAGAGAATTTTGGGAAAGGTTTAAAATGGTGAGGTTTGTTCCTTGCAGTCCCTGGAAAGTTGACTTGCCAATGTGTGAAAGCTTCACGTGGCTCAGTGAGAGGTTCTGAATTGCTGTGTTTGATAATTCTGTACAAACTTTCTTTGTGCAGTTTTCACCAAGTTCAACATTGTTCAGTACAAGACCAAAGAGATTTCCAATTGCATGGAAACATCCTGTGTGAAACTGAAAGAAAAACAAAAAAGAGTTTTGACCTAAACAAGGGGATTACATAAGAAAATTGACCCATAAAGCTAAAATTTGGAAAGGTTTTCAACCAAGATTTTCAAGCAGAATATAACTCCTACACTCAGATTTTTCCAGAGCCAAGTTCAGACAAACACTTCTTGGAGTTTCTACTTGTAATAATAGTTCTAAAATTTGGAGCATGATTATCATCATTCTGAGTAGTACTCTTTCAGAAGACGATAGAAAGTTTCTTAGTGAGATGCAAGTTAATTACAATTTTGTATCCAACAATTAAAACTCTTTCACTAGAAGTATCTTAGAAATTTAGATAATCTCTTTCTTCAGCTTTTATTGGTATCTGCTAGGGATACCGACAAACTAGTGCAAAGCCAGATATACTGTAAAAAAGTTATTTAGGCCTTCAGATAGCCAAGAAGAAACCCAGTTTCTCTGTGTGAGCAGAAGCTACACTCATGAAATGTGATACTACATTCTTGCTTCCACAATATAAATTACAAGTCTCCAATGTAGCGCTGACCCCTCATTTTGATTCAAATTATCAGCTGAATGATTAAGTACTCTGTTTTTCAGAATGATTCAAATGCATAAGGCTGCTTTTCAGACAGCAGTACTGTAAAATCAGGGCGGCTTTAGATAGCATAAAGCAGCACTGCCTAAGAAAGGAGCAGTCCCATCTACTTATCCACACACTGTACCCTTGTGTCAGTATGGTCATATATGCAGTCCCAGGGTGAACCAGCTAGGGAACCAGCCTGACCACAAGCTAACCAAGCCAAAAAATCTGTAGTTTCCCCAGTGACCCAGTGCATAGCCTCATTAAAGCTTGTACCAGCAAGAGGGTGGGATGAGACAGCTGAGGGAAAGGGGACAGCGGGGTTGCCTCTCAGCAGGGGTACAAGCTTATGGCACTTTAAAATATTCCTTTATTTTCAAGATTCATGTTCTTTACAGATCAGTCGACTGCAGGGGCAGAGAGGGAGGAAAGGCAAATTCAGTGCAAATTTATATGCTGCGGGTCAAACAGCTTAGAACTGCAACACTTACCATCACTCTTCAAAGAATTGCAGCATAACAACAAGAAGGGGCTCAGAGAGAACAGAGAGGTACGTGGCAGAGTGTTTTTCTAAAGGAGTGAGTATACTTTTCTGCAGTGATAATTTTTCTGGGGTACTCCACAGGCACAAATTAATATTCTCTTTGATTACCTAGGAAGTGAGATCTCGACTGTATAACTTGCTTTGCACAATATCATACTTTTCCCCACTTAGGAAGTATGTCAGCTGTTCACCTTCAGCACATACAAAACCAAAAAAAAAAATCCTGCACAGAAAATACCTCGTAAGGGTTCACAGAGCTACTTGATCTCGCTCTTACTTGAGACCTCTGATCTACATGGAACCAGCTCTTGCTGATTTCAGTAAGAGAAAAATAATTTTGTGTACCACTACTGGAGGTCAGGAGTAATGCTGTATACAATAGAATGGTTTTATCTGGGACCCTGGTGGATCAAAAGTGTAGTATAAATGCCATACAATCATAAAAGATAAATCAGGATAGTTCCAAAATGCTTCCTACCTCTTTCAGTGGATTTGATGACAAATCAAGACTATTCAATGAGGTGTTGCTAAGAAAACTGAAGTCCTCCTTTTTTAACTCAGTGATTTGATTGCTATCTAACACAAGCTCATGAAGGTTCTTCAACTGTTTCTCCAATCCTAAATTTGCTGACTTCAAAAAATTACGAGATAGGTCCAAAATATCCAAGTTCTGGGGAGAAGATGCAAACAGAAAAGTGTAATATTATTTTTATGTAATACAAAACCATTCTGAAATACTGCATTAGTCTAATTTATTAGAAATTAGTTGCAATCCTACAATTTAAAAAAAATTGTAATAGAGAAATGGCAGCTTTCAAGCTCCTGCAGGAAGAAGCCTTCTGTATCTTCCACACCTGTAAATTTCATTGTGTTCATGGTCTTAACCTGCTAAAATATCTATTGCAAACCAAAGAATTACTTTATCTAAAATTCCTTAATTCACTGAAAGCCCTCCTGCTCCAGATAAGTAGTTACAACTATTGCAGAATTCAACCTTGCATTCCACCCCCTGTACTGTGGTCCACCCCTGTAAATAAAGGTGAGGAGGGTGAAGAGGAGTGTGAAGAGGAGCGCAGTAGCAGCCTACAAAGATCAGTGCCGTGCGCCCTGTAATACTCCAACTTGTGCTCAGACTCTTCCTGCACCTGCAGAGGAGAAGGTGCTGCCCTACAGGTGACTCCACAGAGTGTGCCCTGAGGTGCCCCCAGCCCGGCCTCCGTCGGTACCGGGGCAGCAGCAAAGTGAGGAAGGCCAGAGTTTCAGTCCCGCTCCCAGCACCAAAGCTGGCTGTACTCGTTTGTAGTTAGTTGAGAGTTAGCAGTCCTGTGACGCAAGCAAGTACGTCTTACGTAACTGATCTGGAATACTGAGAAGTTCAGACTTGTTCCAAACAACACGCACACCCATTAGAACACCGTACATTTAATACCCACACATTGTTTCCATTTTCTTTGCCCGTAGGCCCTTCATTTTGCATGATTCCCTGCCTGGTCCAAGGCAATGGAATAGTCTTTTCTTGCCTCCTGTGCTGGTCCCCTAACCTCATAGATCCCACAGAGAAGAATATTTAACCACATGTAAACTACCAGGAAAAACAAAGGTAGACTAAAAACCATTTTACTCTTTCTCAGTCCCCAAAGTCCCGCGAGGCAATACATTCAGCCTAAGCACTGACCTTCCTGATCTTAGTAATGATACCTTGACCTTGAGAATTTAGGCCAGCTACCAGTTTTAGATCCCAGGCAACTCAGATTCCACACTATCCACTTCGCCCTATATGTCATCTGATGCACACGAGGTGCCTCAGCAGGATGCAACAGGGAAAAGGGGATGGAGAGCAATGACTCATAAGGATGGCTGAGACTCCAATGTGCTCTAACACAAGAAGCCACTAGGCCTTTTCTTTAGAAAAAAAATGAAGGAAGATTATATGCTGGGTATTTTTGGATGCAAATAGGCAGCTGTTCTGTACACATACTGGAAAATACAGTAAATTCACCATCTATGCGTTATTTACATGAAAAGGTGCATTTCTAAAGCTTACCTCCAGGGGTTTGAAAGGATCATTTTTTATATCTATTCTGTTGTATCCTAGATTGAGCTCAGTCAGGTTGGTGCAGGAAGCAAAGACTCTGTCAGGGAGCTTATACAATTCATTGTGTTCTAACTTCAGAATCTGCAACAGGGGCACATTTTGGCACAATTCTGGTTGCAGTTTAGAGATACTGTTATAGCCTGCATTCAAGTAAACCAGTTGGCTATACTTGGTCAGGTTTGCAGGACCTAGCTGTTTTAGCTGATTATGAGAAATGTCCAAACCCGTTATATTGTCTGGGAGATCAGAAGGAATTTGAGTCAGCTTTAGGTGACTGCAGTCAGCCATTTCATTTCGGATCTGACATGGCTTTCCAACAGATGCACACAGCAAGCAGGCAGACATCAGTCTGACAGATAAGCTGCTCCACCAAAGAATGGCACTTCCCATTGTTTTATCTGCAAAGGCAAAATGAACACAGTACCAGTTACAATCATTTTGACACAACACAGATCTTAAAATGAAGGCTAAGTAAGCCAGGTTCAAAACCCATGTAGTTTTATATTGAGCAAACACTCAGTATTTGTTACCCATAAAGTAGCATTAATTTCTGCAGAAAAGCTGTCTAATAATCTCTTTAAATTGTTTGGGTTTTTTTTAAATAATAGTACTGTCTTACATAAAAATGATTATGTTCAAAAAGCTACCAACACTTTATTATCAATGCAAATTTCCAACCATTTTCCCTTTTCTAATTTTGTATTGCTTTAGCATGCATAAAATACAATAAATATGACAAATTATACACAGGTCCCTCAACGTTAACCACTGAGCTCTGAGTTTAACCACACTGATAAATATTTATACACAGGCCCCTCAGTGTTAATCACTATGCTCTGAGCTTAGCTACTCTTAAAATATTTATAGTTATATGCAGTAAGAATGCCTAATATACCACATCTTTATTTTGGAGTTCTTGCCATTTTTTGTTTCACAAGCAAGCCACACAAAACTCTAACCATCTTTCCATCTCATAGCGAAAGAAGGAATACCAGGCTATAGAAAGGCGTATGAGAAAGTAAGAACAGACCAAAGAGATCGGTACCAACTTAATCAGAGAAAAAAATGGAAAAGAGCCAAGGTGTAGAGAGAACACTGTCCATAGATTCAATACATGTATCCAAATACTTCCAGAAAAACTTACACATTTAAGAATTTATATACCCCATACCTTTTGAGCATTTCCTAGGATATCAGTCACTGTCCACTGGTGCTCTAATCGTCAATGGCTCTGCCTGTTCAGGCATTACATTTCTGAAAAATCTTGGAGTTTTTCATATTTTATTCAGTTTCAGTTTAGTATCAATAATATTTAAATTCACCTGGTGATCTTGTAATACAGCTTTATTGGATAAGGAAGAAAATTAATTCCACCCAAATTCTGATGGGAATAGAGCTGTAAGAGCTCAGAAGTGTTTGACTATGCTGAGTAACAGAGCTTCTCTAATTAAATAGCATTTCTGCTAATCAAGATAAGAGTCCAGTGTATCTTCCATATCATTCTCTATAAAATTAATCTTTAGTAGGGGGAGAACAAATACTTTGGAAGTGCTTGCCAGAATATTTTTCCACGCCTCAGCAGAGAACTGTAAGCTTAGATTCCTCCACTTAAATTTTTCCTTTTTTTGTTAATATATAAAGCTTATATTTCACCCCTGAAGCTCTGAGTGTCTCCACAATCTTCACATACACATATCTGTATGTGCTTCTGCCAACAAATTCGGAACCTACCTGCCAACCTCATGTTACCAAGAAGTTAAGTCTCAGAATGATGTGCTCCCAGGTAGAGAAGACTATCAGTGCCCCACTTCAGAACAGGCTATAGAGGGGAATTTAACCTTACTAGACTTAACAGAAATCTAGAAGAGCTTCTCAAAAGACCAACTCCCAGGAGTATGAGCTTTCTTAGTTCTGCAGCTCGCATTTTCCTTAGCTGTGTTTAATTAACATGATCTAGCTCTGAGAACATTAGATTATTGCTCAATAGCACACAGTGAAACAGGAAATTAAACCGGTACATTTGCACAGAAAAAGAGAAAGCCTTCAGAACTGATGTTTTTTGAAGAGAAGAGTTTTCACTACCGTAAAAAAAACAAGCTGAGGAACTGACACTGCAACCTGTGGCCAAACAGGAGTTTAGCAGGTCAGAGCCCAGGAGAGTTTGGCTCTGTAGGTGACTTGCCTTTTCAGAGGGAACCCAGAAAAACATGTTATAATGGCCAGAGGGGAAACCTGGGAGCAACCGGGCCACCTGGGGAGAGACATCAGTAAAATCCAACGGGAGTGGGGATACAAGCAAGGGAAAGAGGGACGTAACGCATTGCAAGGGCATACACAAAGGACTGCAAAAGATGATTCAAAATAAACCTGGGTGAAAAAACAATTCCCTGCTGGGCTCTGCCTGTGGGCCTGAGTCATCTCCTGCAGCTCACACAGCCTGGCTCCCCACTCACCTGCCTCTGGCAAGCCGAGGGAACAGCAAATAACTGAACCTGACCGTCCTGCAGACAGCCTGACCTGCTACAGCTGCCACTGAATACAGCACCCGTGTTCCTGTAGCTGAGGAAAATAAAGGACCACTTCTCCTGCCTCATCCCTCTGCACCCCAGCAGCTGGAAGAGCTGAGGAAAACAAAGGGGGAGCTTGTCCCCAACAAAAGCTTTACCTCTGGCCTGCATCCTTCTGAGGGTTGTTTTTAAGGAAATCAGGAGCTTTCAGGCTCCTCGGCAGCTGTTGCCAGTTCATCTTTAAGTTTGAAAGGCGCAAGACATGTACTGCACAAACACAAACTGAGTTCTTTGGCTGACTTCCAGTGAGGCCTGAAGGGCTGCTTTTTCCTGCTTTTTTCATTGCAGGAAGTCTGAAGTCACCTTTAGGTGTTTCATGCTTTGGTTGGGGATCCAGTGAAGAAACCACACATCCATTATCAGACTTAAGGGACAGTGTTACAGAATAACATTTAATGGGCAAAAGAAAGAACGACAGTTTTAATGAGCAAGAACTTTAAGAAACTGGAGAATTTAGCAGGGGAGCCTTCAGCATCTCCCAAGCTGGGGCATTCCCACCTCACCTATGTTGCCTTTTCTTTTTTTTCAAGACACAAAAACACCTCCTGTCAGACGGACAGGGACACCACATACGGGCATCAGCACTAAAGCGCGGTCATTGAGCAAAGAGCAGTGGCCCGACTCCTCTAACTTGCAAGTTAAGAGAAATACAAGATCGAAGAGATGGCCCAAACTCCCGAGCGGTACCCTTGGCTTTGCACCTCTGATATTGGCGTTTATTCCTAAGAAGTGAAGAATGGCAGCCACTTACCGCGGCAGGCTCTACCTCCCTCAGTCTGGAGGCATCCAGGCGCACAGCACGAGTTGCTCGGCACCCGCAAACCGTGAGCAAAGAGGTTTCCGCCGCGCCGGAAGAAGCGAAACCGAAAACGGAGCCCGGGGCGCCGCGGGAAGGAAAGAGGAGGGGAGGGAGGCGGTGGCTGCCCCGTCCCTGCCCCGACGGGCATCCCCCGGGCCAAACCCCCTTCCGCCCCCCATTTCCTTGACCGGCAAGGTTTCGGAGGTGCCGAGGGTGGAGGTCGTTCCGAAGCTGACACTTGTCGTTTGCTGACAGAAACCGCTTTAAAGCACACGGGCGTGTCACGGAGGAGCAGCATCACACGAGCTTACTTACAGCTCAATTACTATTTCTTCCTAGCTAATTACAGAATCTCTGAAAATCCTCGAGGATGTACCCCAAAAGCAGGTTCTGACATAAGAATGTTGCGCTTTTAATGTAGAAACAAAGCAGCAATAGGTTCCTACAGAGCCACATAAAGCATCCCTTTCTAAAAGGGAATTTGTTTATGTGAGAGAGAAATACATTAAATTTAAGAGAGGTAATAAAACAGTTTTTATTTTATTAAAAATAAGAACTTGGGTTTAGATGTGTGTCCTTTTCATACTGTTTGTGAATTCACATGTCCCTGCTTTCCCCGGGACCTGACCATCAGTTTCCTGGAGAGGACTTCCTCAGTACGAGCTTCTGGATGTGACAAAAGGTGCTGCTGCTTCACCTGCATTGGCACTGGTGAATCCTCTGCAGGGCTCATCCAGCCATACTTAAGATGCACCAACACCACTGAGTTCCCCTTACATTTTTAGGTAGTCACGCTGTCCCTCTTGAGTGGAGAGTGGGTAGCTGCAGACTCTCCCAAAAAAGAGTGAACTTGGGCTCTAATTCTTCATTCAAAGTGTTTGAAATTACAGCCCCCAGCAGTATGTTAACTGCCTGCCCACCAGGAACTCTACCCTATATCCCATTAAATCTGGGACTACTGACAGATTTGCTGTGGAGCCCAACACCAACAAAACAAACAAAACCAAACAAAGCTTTTGTAGATGTTTTGCAGCATGATTTACAAGAACGAGCACATACTACTGTGCAAGGTAGACTCTAGGGCATACAAAACTAGTGCAGGTTCAGCAAGTACAGTATTTCTGAGACAGAGGACAAAATGGACACATCTGTGTTTTTTTCAGTAGTGTGAAATGACATCAGGCTCTCAAGTTGCCATAAGTCCACTGTAGCTTACTTTAAACTATACTTATGTTTTCAAGGGCAGGAAAGAACATGGCAAACTCATAATGGAAGAGAAAGTAAAGCAATCCACATGTCCAGAGAATAATTTAGGAAAAGAACAGTGCAAAAACTAGGCAATGCTCCCACATTGTGGTTGAGGAAAGCAACTTGAGTGAGTTGGTTCTCAATGGTGACAAAAGGCAGTGAGGCAAAATTCTGGAGTTGTAGCCATTTCACATATATATTTAACATTAGAGTAACCACTTGCTGCACAGAACTAGTTTAAGCTTCTCTGGGCTATAAGCACAGAAGGGTGGGGAGGTAAGTGCAGTGTCTCACAGAGCAAACAGGCCACCAAAACTTAGCCTAGAAAAAAGCACAAAGGAAGCCTACTGGTCTTAACCTGATCTTCAGATACAAACAAGACTATTAACTTAGCACATGGCTAATTGGACTTTGTTTTTGTAAACTGCAAGTCAAAATTCAAGCATCGGGGGGAAGACCTGAAGTGACAGAACACATGCAGACACTTGCCATGATTATCAGCCACTAGAATGGTGAAAGTGCCATATGTTGTTGTTGGAGTCCGACATCCCATGCAGCAATAAATGGGTTCATGCAAACAGAATCTAAAGAAGTCTGGAAGTGAGCCTAGGTACCAAGAGAAGGAAAGCAGGAAAGAGCAGAGCTGAACAGTTAAGATCTGAGGCAAGTCTTGACAAGGGACTTCCTGCAACATCAAGGCAACTAGAAGGGAAGACAGTGTGGCAGACAGACTTAGCTTGTATCTACCTCCCGAGACAGGAGAACAGATGCTGCTTCTGTGTTGTGATTACATGAATTTAGCTAAGCTTAATCGTGCTGTTGAAGAATCTGACTGGTCAGTTACCTTTAGGGTACAAGAATTCCTTTAAGGCTGCTCACTCATCATTGCTTATTTACAGGTTGTAAAAACTGAAATACAACATTACCTTTTTGTGGACACAAAAGTGGAAAAGGGTATCTGAGGACTGACACGCAGATCAATGGTAAGGCAAACTATGTTCATTAGCATTCTCACTAACCTCTGGAGTGCTCAGAGACAGAATTTGCTTCCATGCATTTCTATTTTTTATTCCTAGCTGAAAACAGGACCTGGGCAGGTAGCTGAGAATTTCAGCCGTTGTTTGGGATTTAAGCTGTCCAGTAGCCAGCCATGAGCAGTGGCTCTGGCTAAACTGTTTGTTGCCTGGAAATAACATGCAAAATGTTAGTGGACATGCAAAGATAAACTCTACAGAATTTGCTCACCAGCTCTGACACTGTGGTGTTCACTTTCCTGATGTGTTGCACTGACTGCAAAGATCAACTGCAATTGCAAAACAAGTCACAGTATCTGAAAAATTCTAGCACAGTAAGAGCATCGACAAAAGCTCATTTCAGTACAATTAGGTTGCTTTACTTAGCCTAGCCAGGAGGCAATTTAGAGAACTATGAATTCAACTCTAGGATGGATTCCTGTTCAAAACCACCTCTCCTCTATACAGGACAGTTAAAGGCAGCCCTTGCAGCCCTTTTCTCTGCATCTTCCACTGCTCCAGAAAGAACAAGGCTGCATCACTACTAGTACATGTGCCGTGTTAATGCCTTTACTTTCATCCAGCGAATTCTAATCCCAAAGAGAGAGCCCTGGAGCTAGAGAAATTAGAAGTCAGTCACTTCTAAATTTACTTTTTAGTCAGGGTTAGAGAAGGTCAAAATGCTTCATTATTTCAAGATTTTTTTAAAGAGGTATCACAATGTTTCATGTTTGTACCACCAGATTTATATATATATATTTATATATATATATATATATATGTACTTGGATATTAAATGTTTTAGCTTTTTACGTACTGAAGTAGTAAAGAGGCTGAAATTTAGGACTTCAGTATTCTCGTGTTGTAGAAATAATTTTTGGCAATTTCTACCTCTAAGAACTCTCCCCAAAAGGTGACAGCCACCTTAAAATTTTCTTCTTATTCATCTTTCTCAATTAAGCATACAAATTAAATATTTTTTATATGCAGTACTGTATTTCCAAGTGTCTCCCCACAGTATCTATCTGGTTTCAGAATCCCTTCCTTTTTTGCTGTTCCCCATTTTTCTGGCACATTTTCATGTTTGTTTTCACAGTATATTTTCAATAAAAAATCTGTATCTCAGTGCAGATCATATACAATTGCCCCTACACTAAGTGATTTCACTGTGAACACAAACTTTATTATTAAAGTAGAAATGCCAGCATTTGTTTTGCACGCATGCCTGCAACAGAGATAGCAAACACCAAACACTAGTACAAGTCTACCACTCTTAGAAATATTTTCCCACTAAAGACTATGCCTTTGAAGGCAATATAATCTCCAGCTTCTAAAGGTAATCTGTATTTAAAAGAATCAGCCGCATTTGATCTTTCCATTTACTAAAATCTCTATTCAGTCATACCCAGCTATGATTTTGCATTGCATCTTTTCCTCAATAGTCACTGTGGCCTGAAAGCCCTACATGCTCAGATTTACCTTGAGCTCACAGAAGGTAAGATGCACAGAAGTGAATAAACATGCAAACACACCCACATAGTCCACCGTTTTTTATTCTGCAGCTCCAAGAAACATCTGGCTGTGCTGACAACTGATTTCAAATCCAGAATTACTTCTTTACAATGGCTCTTGGTACATCTCTTGTCCACATCTATTGTCTCTCATGAAACTATGGAAATAGTGTCAATAAGTTATTCTTCAAATTATTTCTCAACAAAATAAATATATTTTCAACTTTACCAAATTTCAGTGGTATGAAAGGAGACCCCACTAGCTGCCACGTATTAAAAGTTTCTAAGGTATATCTCAACAGCCATATATACAAGTTGCTGCATTTAACTTTACTCACAAGGTACCAGACAAATCATGAACACACTTTTAAATGCAGTGACTATTCATTGTGAGCCTTGCAGAAATATCACTGCTTACTTGGTGCCAGTGGACCTCAGACAAATGAACCTGCTTCTGTATATTCTGCCTAATCGTGTGGGATTTTTGGCAATGTTTTGGTTTATTGTGAAGGATCCAAGGCTAGCTGTGCATTGCTCCCAACAGGATTTTTTCTTAGCTTGTCTTAGATTAACTAAAATTGTATTATGTTGCTTTCAGTAGCTATAGCTTTTGGTTTGCTTAGCAGGATAGCCAAAGAGATTATAAATCTTTAGTAAACTAGATGTTTTAGGGAAACAACTACATTGATGAAGCTTTTGAGGAAGAAATACCAAATCATTTCAACTTTCTAATTTATGTCATGTTTGACATGCAAGAAATCCTTTATTTTAGTAATGGTAAACATAACCCATATGTTTTAAATGTAACAAATATAACACAAAAATGATGAAGCTGAATAAAACTGTAGGATGAAGTATCATGTTTCAATTTTCTTGAAGCAAAACTTCTGTTCTACAGGTGTTTTAAATTTCATTTTTTCATTCTGATTTGGAGTGAACACAACAGCCATTTGAATCCAATCAACAACTCTTTCAGGCCCATTTTCAACAGTGCCATTACGTAGCCCACACTCTTTATAAGAGGGACAGTGAAAGTTAGGAAAACATTTAGAAAAGAAAACTAAGAAAAGTCGATCATAATTACTATCAAAACTATCAGGCTTTAACTATAATATTGTTAGATTAAAACCTGAGGACTGAATCCCAACACCAGTGCATTAGATTGTTATTCAGCTCATCTGCAGAGTTTAAACATCTGTTGCTATTCAAAGACTAAGATTGTGAAAGCTTTTATCTATAAATAAAGCG